TTTTTCTTCCTCAAATGACAAGCTAGTTATGGTTAATGTAGAACTTAAGTCTCTACTATTGAATATCATGACTTATTCTAGTCAACGATTTTTTATTATTAGGTGACAATAGTTACTTCCCCTAAGTTTTTAAAGTCAATAACAAGTGGAATACATTCTTTAACTTTTATTTCTGTGTTTTACTATATTTCTAACTTCTATATTTTTTTTATTAAATTTTGAAGCATGTGTTTGCATTTTACTCCTTTGGTAGAGAAATTATGTCAACTATTTTTTTTTACTCTTTCTTCTTCCTTTTGGTTATCATCCGAACAATCTTTTTTCTTACTTCACTGTCGTTGTACATATCAACCTGAACATTTTCCCTAAGTTAGTTCCTTAATGAAATCCTTCAATTAAATACCTTCATGAGTGATATGGTTGTAATCATCATGAAAAACACCATATCCATTCATGCTTTTGTTAGCCTTTATTTTTAGTTGTGGTAGTTGTGAGCTAGAGCGAACCCACTTGAGTAAATTTAACATAAATTATTATATAATGTGTTACCAATGAGGTGTAATTATGATTTTTTTCCCTTCTCAACTCCCTCCTTACCCAATTGTAAGGGCCATTGCCATTTTTAGATGATGGTGTCGTGATTTTTCTCTTATTCTTTCAATTTTTTTATTCAAGAATAAAAAATGTTGATATCAAATCCAGGCTTTTCTTAAGATGTTTTGTTGCATGAATGCTATATATGTTCTTTATTTAGGGGTGGGCAAAAAAAACTGAACCGAACTGAACTGGTGGTGAACTGAACTGAACTATACTATAAAAAACTGAACTGTTTGTAAAAAAATTGAACTGAACTGTTTAAAAAAAAAACTAAACTGAACTGAACTGTTGAAAGTTAACTGTATTGAACTATAAAACTGAACTGAATTATAAAAATTGAACTATTTTTATAAAAGGATAAAAATTAAATGTGTCTAACATGTTATGTCTTAATGGATTAACTCGATAGTCTAATAACCAAAATTTTAGAAAAAAAAAGTGATAAAAAAATTGTATCAATTTTATCGAACCTAACGGATCAATTGAGCTATGTTGGACTTCTTATTTTTAGGCTTAAAATTCACTGAGTTTGTTTGACTTAATTTTATATTTTTTTCTTTGAAAAATTTAAATAAAATGGAAAATAAAGTAAAGTTGGCAAATGTGTCCTATTTTGATAGATCAATGAGTCAAAATTGTTCAATTCAAAATATTATAACAGTTCAGTGCAATTTAAATTGTAATTCAGTTCAAGTTTTTATAGTATAGTTAAGTTCAGTTCAATGACACAAAAAATAGTTTAGTTCAGTTCATCTGAACTAATATTTAGTTTAGTTCAGTTCATGAGAACTACTTTTAAGTTCAGTATAGTTTTTATAAGTTCAGTTCAGTTCATTTTGCCTACCCCTAACTTTATTATATAGAATGACCTACTTATTGTTTTTAAGTCATAAGACAAATAAGAATTACGAAAGGAGATAATAAATATTGCACAAATTATAAGACATGTCTTCTAATACCATGTTTTATTTAGAGATAATAAATCCATAGGACTTTAACCTTTTTAGCCTTTTTGAATTAAGACCCTAAACTATAAAACTTATAATTAAGTTTCTAAGTTTTTTTTTTTTTTTCAATTTTCGCAATTGCATTCTTAAGTCAGGAGAAAATGAAGAACATTTTGTCAAAATTAACAATTTGTAAGCATACTGTTAACTCTGGGCATAATTATAAAAATTAGTTAAAAAAAAGCAAAATCAATTACATTTTTTTTAAAATAATTTAGGGATATTTTTTTTTAAAAAGTTATAAAAAATTAGCAACCTAGGAATGTATTAAACCTTTTAAAAATAATAAGTTATATCAATAATAGTTTATGATTAGCTTACGGTATAAGTTTTGTGCAATTACACTACAAATTTTAGGAGCCTTTATGATGGTATTTTCATGCAAGAGGATATTGTTCTATAGTGCAGCAAAGTTATGAGTTATAATTCATGTATTACGTATAATCTTTGACAAAGGACTTGGTTAAAAGCTCTATGTTGAGACTAATTTAGCTTTAGTAGTTAAACTTATAGACTAAGGATGTAATACTGTGAGTTTTACAATTATTTAGTTATTTTATTAATTAAATGATTATGTGATTTGTAGTTTTGATGCTTTAAAAACTCTAAGGATTAATAAATTCTTATGAGTTTAGTTGTTTAGGAGTTGTTTTAAGTTGAGGTCAAAGTTGACCAAGTTTAAAGGAAGGTATATAAGGTTTTCTTAAAACTTAAACTTTATAAATTTATTTTCTTAAGAAACTTAGAAGAAAGTTAGAGAGGTAAGATCTGAAGCCAAAGGGAACTTTTCTCCCTTATAACTTCACAAGACCGCTTTAATTCTTCCCCAAAGCTCAATTGTAGGAGTTGAGTAGATATTCAAAGCTTGGAGTGCTAAGAATCAAGTGTTGGTTGTGTTGTGCGGAGAAGCCTGAGAAGATTGCATTCCTCCTTCTTCTACCTTTTTTCTTGGTGATTTGAGGTAAGGGAAGCTTTTAGATTAAGGATTGTTGTATGAGTTAATTATTGTTTGAATTCATCTAGAATTAGTTGTGTTGATCAAATTGAGATGTGGAATCTCTTATGTTTTGAGTTATGTTGTTTTGAATGTGTTAAAGACAAAATGATGATCCTTAAATATTTTGTTGCTGCTTGTTGTTCAAATTGGTGATTATGAGCTTTTGGTAATGCTTATATGTTATTGTATGGGTTACATGCTACTTTAGAGTTGATTTTGTAGGTGGTTGAGCCTAAATCGCGATTTTGTCAAGTGCAAAAATTATCATTGCATTGGGCACAACTTCATGGCACTGGGAGTGAAGTCAAAGGCTTTCTGCCTCACTGGAACAAGACCTAAGATTAGTAATGTTGAACATGAGTTAATTAAGGCTCTCTAACTTAGTCACATTGAACATAAAATAAGTGGCATTGGGCGTGATTGCTCGGGAAGCTTTCTAGCTTGGTGATGTTGAGGACAGAATGAGAGGCATCAAACATGATTAAGCTGGTGACTTTTTGCCTAGACAACACTAGGTGCCAATTTTGTGGCACTAGGTGTGAGTCAAGCATAGACTCTCTACTTGAATAATGTTAGGCATGAGTTTGGCAACACTAGGCGTGGTATACACAAAGACTCTTTGTCTCATTCTCACTAGACGTAGGTGGTTTGGTGTTGAGCGTGAATGAGTTAGAGGCTTTTTGTCTCACTGGTGCCAAGCATTAGATAAATGGTGTTTTATGTGGTCATGTTGAAGAAAACTCGTGATTCTGATTGATTAAGTGATGAAAATATGTTGAGTAGGATAGTTGTGTACATGAGGTATAATGATGATTTAATCTAGTTCATTGTGTATTGATTTATGATGTTATTTGGTGATGTTTTAAGTTGAAAGTTGGTTTTTAGTTGAATTCGTATGGAGTAGAGTTGTATGATAATAAATTGTATATTGTTGAATAAAGAAGTGTGATGAATGCTTGATGCATGAAGTTGTGCTACATTGTTAACTTAGGACTAGAGGAGAGGTGTTGTTTTAAAAGTTGAAATATCTCATTGTGTGGATATGTGTTGTGGTGTTCTATGAACCTAGTTGTTGAAAAACCTTCATTGAATATTGTTGCTCTTAGAGTTGAGTGTTGAGTCTCCTCTAGATCCTTAATTATTTTTTAGTAAGGCATGAAGTTAAGGGGTAAAATATTAACTGGTTACCGGAAAGGTGCGTGATATTGTAAGGATAGTTAGCAGACTATACTTATTGGGTACCGAACTTTCCTAGTTTAACTAGCAAAATCTGAGAAATCATATTGTGTTGTATACTGATATCCAAATTTGTTGTTGACCTAGTAAGCAAAAAATGTCAGGTTGTTAAAGTTTGGTTCCATAAGATTAAACCACTTAAACTACTCGCCTTTATTATAAGAGATCTTTTAGTTGAAATGTGTGATGATGCATTGTGTCGCTATGTTGTTATGTTGAAGTGTTTTTTAAGTTGTTGTGTTGTGAATTGTTACGTTGACCATTTGTTGTGTTGAAAAGTTATATTATTAATATACTAAGTTGATATGTTGTAAGTTGTATAAATGTGTTGTAAGTTGGAATGTTGACATGTTGTGTTGTGTTGTACAATATACTATGTTGAGGGACTTGTATATACATAGTAAACTTAATTGCTTCTAAATTATGTTGAATTCTTGACTTCAAGCTTACCTTTACAATTTTTTTCCCTTGTTAATAGATTGTGATGATCATATTATTATGGAAATATAGTAGGATTAAACTTGAGAACAAGCTGGACTTTTGACTACCATATTGGAGATGGTGGTGTTGTGTTGGTAGCTATTCTGACACAGCTTGTTTAGTAGTTATTTGATGGACAACTTATGATTCATGTTTACACTTGTTGGGTCATTACAAAGAATGTAGTAGCGATCATTTATGCTATGAGTTAATTTAAAGTGTGACTAGTATTTTTTAGTAGTAGTACCTTGTCTCCTATAACCACACTTGAGAGATGTTAATGAAGTGACTAATGTTTTTGTTAAACGCATGTCTTTTCAAAAGAAAAGATGACACTTTTCGATAATCTTCTTTCATTTATTCAAATTTCTTTATTTATACATATGTTTGTTATTTCTTTTAAGTAGAGAAGTGTAATTTGAACATTTAATTCCATAAAAAATAATAAAAATAAACATATAAGAATGTAAAATAATTTTATCATTAATGGAAGCAATTTCTTGATATTTTAATCATTGATTTGTTTATATCTACAAATCCAATCAAATGAACTTTTGGAAAGAGAAAACATTTTGTGTTATTATTATTTATTTAGATGGTGAGCGAAAAGATGGGATAGGAATATATGAGGTAGAAGAGAAGAAGAGAAGTTAAAAATAGAGTGTAAATATTAAGAACATAAAAGTGCACCGTCACCGTAAACAAACGGTGGTCCAGGAGGGTGGTGGTATCCAGTGGAGGCTTCAACCAGCGAACTTGTCCTTATAATGAGACGCTCACCCACGCTTCTTCTTTCTCTCTCCACTCCCATTTCTCACCCCACACCTCCTTCTCTACACTCTTCTTCCCTCTAACCACAACCGATTATCAAATTAGGGTTTTCGTTGGGGGAAACAAAAATAGGGGGAAATACTCTGGAGAGTCTGTAGAAAACATGGTTGTCGATGATATGACGAAGTGCATCATCGTCGGCTATGGAGCTTCCGATTCTTCTCGTTTCTCCGATGCTTGTCCCAAAAGGTAATCCTTCAAGATCTCCCTCTCTCTTTCAAAAACTATTTCTTTTTTCTTTTCTCGCTTATGGATTTGATGGTTTTGCTTTCCCCTGATTTTGGAGGGATTTTCGAGTTACCTGGTATAGGGTTAAGTATAATTCCCCTCTAGCGTTTTCGAAATCTCTTCCTCTCTTATAGAGATTGAAGAGATATCCCTCTGTCTGTCTGTGTTATATATAGATAGATAGTTAGTAGTTAATTAGTTCTGTTCTTCTTTTTCTTGTTGCGGTCTGTTTATTTATTAATTTACAAAGAAGAAAAGTAGGAGAATTATTATTTTAAAAAGGTTAGATTTGTTGATTTTTTTTTCTTCTCTTGTTTACTTCTTTCTCTCAAACTCAATTGATAAATCTAGGGGTTTGATGGAGGGGAGATATAGTGGGGATTGATATGATCAAGGTGTTTATAAGGTTGTTTTGTTGAATTCTTTTTGGGATGGCAATATTGTACGAACCAGCAATAAAACTCATCAACGAGATGAGCTAGCATGGGCGATTCTTGTCTTGCTACTTTGTCAATGGAGAATCATCACCCCTCCACGCTCCTTTCAATGGACTCAAGTGCATCTTCTCACGAGGAACTCGATTTGGAGATGAATCGCCAAATCATACTCTCTCGTCCGCCGGATATCAATCTTCCCCTCTCTGCCGAGCGCAGCCCGCCTCCGCAGCCATGGAATCCGGAGCCTTGTGATATTCTTGACGTTGGTCTTGGTACTCAAGGGTACGAGACTGAGAGTTTTCTCAATCTGCCCAAAGCTGGTAGGAAGTGTGCGAAGCGTGTTGATAGCATATGGGGTGCTTGGTTTTTCTTCAGTTTTTACTTTAAGCCTGCTTTGAATGACAAGTCTAAGGCCAAGATTGTCAGGGACAGCAACGGTGTTTCAGGGTTTGATAAATCTGATCTGAAGCTTGATGTTTTCATGGTTCAACATGACATGGAAAACATGTACATGTGGGTTTTCAAGGAGAGGCCGGAGAATGCGTTGGGTAAGATGCAGCTGAGGAGTTACATGAATGGGCATTCTCGTCAAGGGGAGCGCCCGTTTCCATTTAGTGTTGACAAGGGTTTTGCCCGATCCCACAGGATGCAGCGAAAGCATTATAGAGGACTATCAAACCCTCAGTGTGTGCATGGCATTGAGGTTGTTCCTGCACCCAATCTGATGACCCTGGATGAGGATGATCGAAAGAGGTGGATGGAACTCACTGGCCGAGATTCGAATTTCACAATCCCACCTGAAGCAAGTGATTTCAGTTCATGGAGAAATCTTCCCAACACGGACTTTGAGCTTGAGAGACCACCTCCCCCAATCAAGAATGGTCCTAATGCACACCCGAAGAAGCTGCTTAATGGATCTGGACTGAATTTATCAACTCATCTATCTAACCACAGTAACGGTGATGTGTTGGACCTCTCTCCTGTCAGCGGCAAAAAGAGGAAGGACTTTTTCCCTCATAGAAATGAAGAAGAATGTTACTTGGCCGTTAATCCTCCATCTGATCGTATTCCAGATATAGAAATGCACCCAAGTGAGCCACACTGGCTGAATGACTTCAGCGGGGTGATAAAGAGTGTTTATGGACCTGTTACAGCTGCAAAAACTATTTATGAGGATGAACAAGGTTACTTGATTATTATCAGTCTTCCCTTTGTAGATCTACCAAGTGTGAAAGTTTCATGGAGGAACACTCTGACTCGCGGTATCATAAAGGTTTCTTGTATGAGCACATCTCGGAAACCTTTCATCAAGAGACATGATAGGACATTCAAGCTTACAGATCCATCGTCAGAGCACTGCCCTCCTGGAGAGTTTGTCCGAGAAATCCCTCTCTCAACACGAATTCCTGAAGATGCCAACATAGAAGCATATTATGATGGGCCAGGCTCGGTGCTTGAGATCCTGGTGCCAAAACACCGGGTGGGACCAGAAGAACATGAAGTCCGTGTTTGCCTCCGCCCTCATCTGGGAGGGAATGGTCTGAAGTTAACATGAGATAGGCACTTAAAAAAATTGTTAGGGATTTCAATATGGTGCGCATGTGATTGTTTTTCTAACTTTGTACCATACAGTGTTATTTGCTATAGAATTGTGTGTCTTTCATTTTGTCTGTAGCAATTTTAGCTTGCTGACTGCTCTGGTTCTTTTTGTTCCGGTGCATTTGTATGCTATTGATTGTTAGCAGTATTGAACAACTAGTTGTCATAATTTAAAAGAAATTATGAAATCATACCGTTGGAATAATTTGCTATTCCATTACGATCTTGGACTCTGATTTATTGGCTTGTCTTCGTAAACCATCTTTTACTTTGGATACAATGTTATACAAGAGTAAAAGGTAGTTTTGTTTCCCAATGAGTACATGTTCGTGAGAATACATATAACAAGACTCTCAATAATAAGAGTAAACTTTGATTAGCAGTACAATGATGAATATGAAGAACAAATTAAGTGCTCCTCTTCAGCTGCATGACTTTATGGGTACCATTCATATTAACGTCGTTGGTTATGTAATACAAGATTAAGATTAATGGGTGGGAATCTTACGGAAAGTCAGACACCATTGTCGAATAATATCCACAGCTTTTGTAACGAAAATTGAATTTTATGCAGCCTACCTTTTAGACTATGTTGGAGTATTTGTAAAAAGAAAAAAGTCAACAGCCACTATGAGATTAGTAAATAGTAATGTCGAAGAATCTGTTACTTGTAGAATGATTTTTTTGTTCTTGAAAAATCCAAAATGATATGTTGACCTTAGAGCAGAAGATATTTTACGTGAGGCATGATATGATTCGGGAATGATTCCTGTTAAGATGTGAAGGACTAGGCCCATTTCAAGTTTCAAGTGAGGCTATCATGTTGTGCCGCAGTGGGGAAAAAGACGCAAAGTTGAAGGAGTAGGTGATATTTTGGGTAATAGAAGCATGAGCAAGCAATTGTTGAATAATAGATTGGTGGTTTTGTGTGGTGAGTGTTTAAACTGCAAGGATTAGATAGAGTGGAGTTGGGAAGTGTCTAGTTCATGTTTGTTGGCCAAGGGTGGCATCTAATTGAAATGATAATTTCCCCCTCTCCTTTTTGGTCACTGGACGTCGTTATCTATTTACTTTTCTCGTTTACGCGTTGGTAACTCATGCAGATGCCAAGGTGGTCCAGTAAACTTTTATTTTTGGAAAGCGGTGGAGGGTGGTAAATTTCAGATTTTTCAAAATCCTTTTATTCTTGCTCAACGCTTTATTAATTACAAAATTCAAAATACCTATTCTGATTTCTGAATTCGTAAAGCCTTATTATATTTGGTCATTGTCAAGTGAGTTTTACACTATTAAATAAATATTTAAATTTAACTACTTATGATTATTTTGATTATTTAATATATTTATTTTATTATTTTAGTTATATGTATATATATATATACACATATATTTGAATTTGTCAATTTACACTTTAGATTAACATGGCAACGTTTTCCAAGTTTAGGAATAAAAATAAATGTTTAGTCAATTACGATGTGGGAATTTCCTTATTAGTGCTTCTTCATATTATCTTATTATAGTAACAAACGGGCATATAGAATAACTTGTGCATATTAAAAGCAGCTTACTATTTTACGCCTATATATAATTTGAGTTTAGCCAACCAACTGAAATTAATTGAGATTTAGTGTGATTTGCAAGTATTAAAGTGTTGGGCGGACAAAATTTGACACTTCTAATTAATTTAAAAAATAATAACTTTTTATTTATTTATAAGATCTACATTTCATTTGAAATCATTACAAAATTAAATTCAATTAATTTTAATATTATATTTTCAAAATAAAATCAATTTATACTTTCAATAAAAACATTTCATTTACAAATTAAACTTTAATACACATAAATATATACTCTCAAATAGCTACAAATAAATAAATATTTTATTTCCTAAACATGTGTAATTGTTACGTGTGAATTATGTTATGACATCCTTATCAAACCTCGAACTTAAATTTTGGTCAATCTTCTGTTCATGCGAAGTTGTGATAAAGTTTTAATATAAGAATGATTTTATAATTTTTTAAACTGTTATATTGTATTTCAAGAGTGAATCACAATTTTGGTTCTTGAAGTGTAATATGCCTTCAACTTAATTTTTGAAAGTATCAAAACCGTAAATTAGTTCTTGAAAGGAAGTATCCTCCGAAAGCGAAATCCGAAATATAGTCCGAATTATTAAAAAATTATTATTATTTAATAAATTTATTATAAAATAATTATTTTATAATAAATTTATTTAAAAAATATCTCATAAATAATACTAACGATATATCACATCTAAATCCTCACATTCTTAATATGGAGGAAGACTAAGAGAGATAATAAGATGAAAGTGTATGAATTTGTTTTATAAACATTTTTTTTAATTTTTTAATTTAGTTATTGTTAATGTAAATCTAACTAAGATAGTCAAATGGGAAAGAACCATACAAGGGATAGACGGTATTTTATGAGACACTTAACGTTGTATTGTTTAACAGCTAATGAAATGACTAACAACAAGAAAAATAAAGACTAAATTGATTGACATAGTACAATTTCAAGAACAAATATTTGATTGACATGATACAATTTCAAGAAGAGCATTACTACGGCCTCCGAATCCAAAATATCGTCCGAATTATTAAAAAATTATTATTTTTTAATAAATTTATTATAAAATAATTATTTTATAATAAATTTATTAAAAAATAATAATTTTTTAATAATTCGGACGATATTTTGGATTCGGAGGCCGTAGTAATGCTCTTCTTGAAATTGTATCATGTCAATCAAATATTTGTTCTTGAAATTGTACTATGTCAATCAATTTAGTCTTTATTTTTCTTGTTGTTAGTCATTTCATTAGCTGTTAAACAATACAACGTTAAGTGTCTCATAAAATACCGTCTATCCCTTGTATGGTTCTTTCCCATTTGACTATCTTAGTTAGATTTACATTAACAATAACTAAATTAAAAAATTAAAAAAAATGTTTATAAAACAAATTCATACACTTTCATCTTATTATCTCTCTTAGTCTTCCTCCATATTAAGAATGTGAGGATTTAGATGTGATATATCGTTAGTATTATTTATGAGACTCCATAATAATATAAGACAAATTATACATGATCAAGTTAAAGTTAAGTGAGTCAATATGAGACTGATCTTACTTTTAATGTCTTCTTGAGTGTCAAAAATATAGATAAAATTAAACTATATAATGATGACATGATTTGTACATTGTGTTCAATTATAATATTTTGGACAAAAAGACTAAGTTACATAAAAATATTGTCATGGAAGATTACGCCAAATCACAAGATTTTCTTATCGTTTGGATAACAATAATGTGTTGTTAAATAACTCTTATTATTTATAATATTAAATGAGATTTAATATTATTTTCAACATAACAATAACTTATATATAGGCCGTCACACACATAAAAATATTTAAAGAAAAAATATCATTAAGTGTGACTTTAAAAATATTTAGACTCATGAATGTACGAGACTCATTTAAAAGGCATGACAAGATAATGAGAAAAATTATGTATGCTTTTCTCACCGGTCAAATTCTTAACCACATTGACTTGAATGCAACTATTAAAACATGACATTAAAAAAAAGGCAAAAATATATTTTTCGTCCCTTATATTGTTTATTAGATCCAATTTAATCACACTTTAATTAATTGAATCAATTTAGTCTCACATCTTTAAAATGTATTTTAATGTTTAGTTTTTCATCCCCTTTGTTTAAATATTTAACGGATGTGACACGTGTCATACTGTAATATTACGTGTCATGTTGTCATGTCACGTGACATGATAACATGATGCCACGTGGCGTGATAACATGACATGTGTCATACTGTCATGACATATGTCATGAGTAGCATAACACGTGTCATAACACATGTTACATCTACTAAGTATTTAAACGGGATGAGATGAAAAATCAAACATTGAGATGAATTTTAAAGATGTGAGACTAAATTAATTCAAATAATTAACGTGAGACTAAATTGATACTAATACATAATATAATGGACAAAAAATATATTTTTACCTAAAAAAAAAAAAAAAGAACATTAATAACAAGATACAATGGAGCAACGAAACAAGATACAATGGAGCAAGAAAAACAAAGCAACAATAATACGTGAAGCTTCATAGTTGTAGGATAAATATTACAATAAAGAAGGTGCATTATATTAATTTACAAATTAAATCAATCCAACAGTCACATATTGTTGTCCACCCTAAACCACATGTAACATTAGTCAACTTTAACCTCAATCACCTTTTGAAGTAGTTACATCACGTTAAATCCAAATCATTCATATATAATTTATGATATTTTTTTTATACTTTTATTTAAAAATGACCCTCTTAATATATATATATATATATATATATATATATAAATAAAAGATTTGTTGATCTAACTATTAAACCATAACTATTTATTATATTAATTATTTAGTCATATTATTATTGTAATTAAAAATTTACAAAAGATTAACACAAATAACTAATATAATAAAGTTATAATGTATATAATGGTTGATATCTTATTTTATTTGTTCATTCTCTTTTAATTTCTGTTGATTTTTCTTTACTTTAATTTTCTTTCTAACTGCAGGTCAGATGATGGCCTACAACAACTTTGAAAGGTGATAGTATCTCAGTTTTTTTTTTCATTAGAAAAGAAATACAGATCGATGACATTAACTAATAGTACTTTTCCTTGTAAAAGCTCAAAGGCCGTATTTGCCAATGGCCAGTGCTGATCTGGTTTGGCTAGTACCTCGTACGGATAAAATACAAAGACACTTATCATTTACGCATGTGTTTGCATTCTCGTTTAAAACGTGAAAAATCACTTTTAACGTGAAAGCAAACGCGAATGCAAACAAACGCTACAATATTATCAATTTTCATCGTTCATGTATAAAAAAATATCATTGAACATCGATGGCATAAGCCTACACACATTTAATAGGTGATAACTGATCTCTTATAAAAATTATAATAATAATGCCAGGATTTCAACATAAAATTCTACGCATACTCTCAGACCCTCCTTTTCCTTTTTCTCTCCTCGACACACACCCTCTCACCCATTCTCTTCCCACTCTTTCTTTCTTACTCACTTGGTTGATTCTTCTCTTCCCTGGACTGAAGGTGGTGATTCAAGTTAGGTAGAGCTAGCTGAGCTGTGTGGAGATTTCTTCCCTCAAGTTTCTTC